GAGTTAACCAGAAAAATGCTGTGTTGAAGTTGAAGATAAAAATAATTTTTACTTTTTTCCAAAAACCAACTTAGCAATTTCAATTTTTTGCACGAATTTGGGTTATTATAAATTATTTTTTAAATAATTTTTTTATATTTTTTTATTTATTTATTAAATTATTCTTTATTATTAATTTTTTCTTAAAAAAGTATTTGACCTGACCTGACTTGACGCTTCTTTCTTAGAAATATTTTTGAAATTTTATTACGATTGGATTTAAAAAAAAAAATATCCAGAAAAATGCTTTGTTGTTGAAATTAGAGATAAAAAATTGGTTTAAATTTTTTGCACGAATTTGGGTCATAATAATTTTTTTTTATTAAATGATTAATTGTTATTAAATCCTTCCAAAAAAAAGTATTTGACTTGACCTTTTCTTTTCTTACAAATATTTTTGAGATTTTTTACGACTGGATTTTTTTTTCAAAAGAAAATTAGTTATCCAGAAAAATGCTCTGCGTTGATGTTGGAGATAAAAATTAGTTAAAAGAAAAGTTAAAAAATTTTTTTTTCAAAAACCACTTCAGCAATTTCAATTTTTTGCACGAATTTGGGTTATTATTATTCAGTTAAATTAATTTCTTTTTGATTTTTTTTTATTTACTATATTCTTCTTACTTGACCTGACCTGATCTCAAAAATATTTCTGAGATTTTATTACGATTGGATTTTTTTGTCAAAAAATTAGACTTGGAGATAAAAATTAGTTTCAATTTTTTAAACCCCACCTCAGCAATTTCCGTTTTAGTGTCACAATGCCTGGGCCCCTTCCCCTTTGCGCATTTCTCACATTTTTTTCTCCTCCTTAGGAAGGCTCTAGGGCTGTATTACGTGTCTCGATAGCCCCAGAATCGTCCGTGCACAATGCCAAAACCGGAAAAGACTGAGGAGGACCCCGATCCTACCCCATATCTTTTCGTTTCTCTTGAACAGAAACGTATCGACCAAACCAAGCCCTACGATGCCAAGAAATCATGCTGGGTCCCGGACGAGAAGGAGGGCTTCGTACTTGGTGAAATCAAGGGCACCAAGGGTGACCTCGTCACCGTCGGCCTCCCCGGCGGAGAGGTAAAACACACTTGCTCCTCACCCCCCCAAACCCCCATCCCCCGCCCCACACACACACTAACCGTTTTTGTGACAGGAGAAGCCCTTCAAAAAGGAGAACGTCCACCAAGTGAATCCCCCCAAATACGAAAAAGTCGAAGACATGGCCGATTTGACTTATTTGAACGAAGCTGCCGTTTTGCACAACTTGAGGCAGAGATACTACGCGAAATTGATTTATGTAAGTGTCGCGAAACGGTACTAAATTCGTTTTTTTCTCCCCCCCAACAGGAGAAGAACTTCAAGAAGGAGCAAGTAGGCCAGGTCAACCCTCCCAAGTACGAAAAATGCGAGGATATGTCCAATTTGACGTATCTCAATGATGCTTCCGTTTTGCATAACCTCAAGCAAAGATACTATGCTAAACTTATTTATGTAAGTCAGGGTTGGAGGATGGGTCAAGGACCTGCAACCGGCACTGGGAACGTGACCGGTCGCCCAATTTGAGTGTGAAACCATGAAAACACCCTTATGTTTTTTTTAAACCCACCCTTCTTTGTGTTAATCAAGTATCAGTACCAGGGGTACTGAATGGTTTGTGGTTGATGGTTGTACCAAGGCGAGGCGCTCACCTGACATTCAGCAAAACTTTATTTTCTAAGTTGGTACTCGTCAGGGAACGCCTTCTCTTACCCCAGTTTCAGTACCATGACATTCTGAAACTTGTTTTTGCCCCATTTGTGTCTTGTGTTAATTCTAGTTTCAGTACCAGGACTTCTGAAACGATTTTGTTCCCCCCCCCCAAATATGTGTTTTAATCCCTCTATCAGTACCAGGGGTACTGACCCCAATTTAAATGTTGTGTGATTGTGCTAAGACGAGTCGCTTGTGCTTTTTAGACTGCTAAAACTGTCCAAAAATGGATTTTTTTAAATAAACTTTTCAAAAAAATTAATTGTCACTGAATTTTTGGCAAATTTTATCTTTAATTGAGTTGATCTAAATTTAAATCTTTTAAAAAGGACTTTTGACGAGGAATGCGTTATTTTTACCATTAGATTTAGATTACAAAATAGTCAAAAAAATATGTTTTGAAACCAAAATTATTTTAAACCGAAGAAAAAATTATGTTAGTTTTTAAAACAAAGTAAAAATAATGAAGAATAAGATGAACATAATCTAAAATATTCAGATCGTTTGTAGAAATAAATATTTTTTCTTAAGATTATTATTTTATGGTAATTCTGATATAGTTTTTTATAATTTTTTAGGGCATTCTTAGAAAGAGTATTTCAAAATTGGACTTATTTTTAAGTTGGCAGTATTTTAAAAACCTGAAAAAAAACATAAGCAATCATGTAATTTTTTCTTGCTGAAACACTTGACTGTTATTTAATAAAAAAAAATTCCACAATGATATCTAAAAAAGTTAAAAAAAAATCAAGTACTTACTTAAATCATTTCTAATTTTAAGGTTAATTAAGGTAAATTTTGCTAAAATAGATTTCCAATATTAAAAAATAATCAATTAACTACATATTCTAAATCAATTTGAATTTGAATTAGCTTTTAGAAATCAAAATTAACGAAAATAATTAGATTGCTTGTAAAAATGAAGAATTCTTTTCAGATTATTTGCGAGGAGTCAATTAAACTTTCAATTAACTTCTGTGATACAAAAAGAATAATTCTCATTCCAACATTTTTTTGAGGATTTATTTAAACTTAAAAATGGTACTCCAAATTTAACTTTTTTTATTTAGAACAATTAGTCCAATATTGGCATTACGTGAAATACCTGAAAAAAGTCCATAAACAACAATATGATTTCAGTTTCAGGTCTTGCTGAAGCATTGGACTGTTAGATAATAAAACTTGTCCACAGTGAGGTTTTAACAAAAAAATTCAAGTAGTTAAAAAGTCAGTCAATTATAGAAAAACATTGGACTTTAGACAAAAAAAAATGATTTTGTATTTTGTTATTTTAAATTTTTCAAAAAAGACTTTTTTTAACTTTAAAAACTACAAACGACGATTAAATTTTGAAATAGTAAAAATATAAAGAAAATGACCAGTCAAGCACAAGTTGGTACAAATTAAATTAAAATCTCTCTTGCTAAAAAAATAAAACAAACTGAGGTGTTTTAAATGTAACTTTTTGAGTTAGTTTTAAAATTGGCAAAATTTGTGTAAACCCAAAAGTTGGTGATTTATCTACTTTAAATTAAGTAAAAAAATTGGATTAATTATTATTTAAAAACAAACCTAAAATAATAAATATTGCTTCCAAATGCTAAAATAGAGTCTGCAGAAACCAAATTATTTAGTTTTAATTAGTTTAACAGTCTTAAAAAGATTTATCAATTTCTCCAGCACCTAGAAGACCAAAAAGGGCAATTTTTGCGCCTCTTCTTATCACAATTTCAGTATCAATTTCAGTTGTGTGCATTGTGTTAATCCAGTTTCAGTACTAGTACTAGTACACTCACCCCCTTAATTTTCTAGACCTATTCTGGCCTTTTCTGCGTCGCCATCAACCCCTACAAGCGCTTCCCCGTCTACACCAACCGCTGCGCTAAACTCTACCGTGGCAAGAGGCGTAATGAAGTACCACCCCACATTTTTGCCATTTCTGACGGCGCCTACGTGAACATGTTGACCAGTAAGTAGCCGCCCCCAACCCCCAAAAACCCCAACTAACTTTCTTCAATTCCAGACCACGAAAATCAATCCATGTTGATTACGTAAGTACCAAAGTACCACTTTGGGGGTAGTTTACTCAACCTTCTCTTGCAGTGGTGAGTCTGGTGCCGGGAAAACTGAAAACACGAAGAAGGTAATCGCGTATTTCGCCACTGTTGGTGCTTCAACGAAGAAATCTGAAGAACAAGCGAAGAAAGGCAACTTGGAGGATCAAGTCGTGCAAACTAATCCTGTGCTTGAAGCTTTCGGTAACGCCAAGACCGTGCGTAATGACAACTCGTCGCGTTTTGTAAGTTAGGTTGATAAGGGGTGAAATTGGGGTAATTTGGGGTGTTTTAGGGTAAATTCATCCGTATCCATTTCGGTCCAACTGGTAAACTCGCTGGTGCTGATATTGAAACTTGTAAGTTATCAAATTTTTGAGTTTTTTTTTCTTAGAAAATTCTTGTAGATTTGCTTGAGAAGGCTCGTGTCATCTCCCAACAATCCTTGGAGCGTTCTTACCACATCTTCTACCAGATGATGTCCGGTGCCGTCAAAGGCCTCAAGGGTAATTTTTTCCCCCCACTTGAATTTTTTTAGTTTTTTGGTAAATCTAATCTTGTGTCAAATTTAGAACAATGTTTGCTCTCAAACGATGTCTACGATTACCACTATGTCGCGCAAGGCAAAACAACAATTCCCAATGTTGATGATGCCGAAGAAATGCGGTTAACTGATGTAAGTGGGTGATTCCCACGAAATTTTGCTTTTGATTGGTTAAAGAGACGCCGGACTTGTCCCCCCACCCCCTAAATCGGTTCTAGAGACCCCGATTGGTCAAACAAATTTATCGAGACGAAATTTTTTTGATCACCCTTTTGTCTATTTTGTTATTATTTGTGCCCTTTGTCCTCCTTAGAGATGTGTTTGTTGTCTAACAACGTCAGTGACTACTACTTCGTGGCTCAGGGTAAAACCACTATTCCTAATGTCGATGATGCTGAGGAACTCTTAATCACCGACGTAAGTCCCCTCTAACACCTCATGGTTGGTACTTACAAGGTTTCCCCAAAAGATAAACTGACACAAACCCAAGATGTTCCAATTCTAATTTATTGCTAAATGTTTTGGAAATAATTCATCTTTAAAATTACTCAAATTACACTAATTTTGTGTCATTACAATTATTTATTCTAATAGCCTGTAGTCAAAGTGCAAAATTTAAACTCTTATAACTTCGAAATTTTTATAGATATTTTTTTTTTAACATTTCTTTTATGTTTCTGGTATCTTACCTTATATGGCATTTTTCTCTAGGGCACGAGTTTTGTCGCATCATGTATTTTATTAAATTTTATAAAAAGTAAAATTTTTTCTTTCTTTGGTACTCAGCACTTTTAATTTGTTATCTTTAAAAAAAGATCATTAATTTGCGACTTGTAGTTATTGAGAAAATCGCTAATATGTCAATAATTTTTAATTTATCGGGAATTTATTGACTTTCAATTTTTGAACATCCCCTGTTTAATAATTTCAAATAAGATTTTCAAACTTGTTTCAAGCATTCTACTCTACATTGACGTTGTTTGAAAAAAATGAAAAAATAAAAAAATGAAAACAGTAAATCTGTTAAATAAACATAAAACAATTAATTTTTGAAGCTTAAATTTGCTAAAACAATGAAAATGATTACGATTTGGATACGTATAGTTTAGAAGATTTCTATTTGGACGGTTACCTAGTTTGCCAAAATTGAGAAAATAACAAAGTCAAAATTTTTGAACAATTTTTTTTTAGAGGAACTAAAAAGTAAAAAAATAAAAATAATTGTCACGTGTCACCTGGATTAAAACCTAATCAACGGTTTTTACAGCTTGTACACTAATATTTACAATTAAAAAATTAAACTCAAGAAATTCTTGGAACTTGTTCTTGGGTAATTGTGTCAGGTTTGGCTATTTAGGCCAGATTTTGTGACTTGGCCAAACCTTGGAACTCATTTTAGGCCAGGTTTAGTCCAAACCTAGTGTTCATTTTCCCTTTTTTTCTCTGTTAATTGTTGAGACTTGTCCGGAATGTCTTACTCTGGGAAAAATCGTAAGGCTTGAGACACTCCAACTCGCAAACCTCATTTCCCGCTCTCGCAACCTAACCTAGGCTTTGCTAACCCTCGGCTTCTTTCACAGAGAACTGCTTGCTTACTGACAACGTCTACGATTACAATTTCGTATCCCAGGGTAAAGTGACAATTCCCGGCGTTGATGACGCTGAAGAATGTGAATTGACTGATGTAAGTCATTCTCAACAATTGACCCCAAAAATGTTGTTTTGGTGCCCCAACCTAATTTTTTCTCTCTAAATAGCAAGCCTTCGACGTATTAGGCTTCACGCAAGAGGAAAAAGACAACATTTACAAAATCACTGCCGCTGTCATGCACATGGGTTGCATGAAATTCAAGCAAAGAGGTCGCGAAGAGCAGGCCGAACCTGATGGTACTGAAGAGGGTGAACGCGTTGCGAAACTTTTAGGCATTGAGGCGCCTGGGTTGTACAACGCTTTGTGCAAACCCAGGATTAAGGTCGGCGCTGAATTCGTCACCCAGGGGCGTAATGTCAACCAAGTCAACTATTCGGTTGGTGCCATGTCCAAGGCCATGTTTGACAGGTTGTTCAAGTTCTTGGTCAAGAAATGTAACGAGACTTTGGACACCAAGCAAAAAAGACAGCACTTTATTGGTGTATTGGATATCGCCGGTTTTGAGATTTTCGACGTAAGTTCTGGGTTTTTTTGCACAGGGTGAATCACAACAAACACACTTTAAAGATTTGAGAGAGCACTTTACACTTTTAGGACGAGTCACCTGTTTTATTTTTAACTTTAATTTTTTGGTTTTATTTCAGTAATTTTCACTAAAATTTTATCAAAAACAAAATGTTTTCAATTTTTTTATTCAAATTTGAGTTAAAGGTATTTGAAAAAGGAAAGTCAAACTACCACTAGATTTAGATTTCACAATAGTCACAAAGTTTATTTTGAGACTTAAATCATTTATAATATAAAAAAATTAAAACAGCAACGTTTTCAAAATGGAGAAATTTATAACAAATTTATTTTTTGTTTTAAACCGAAAGAAAAATTATGTTTCCTTTTAAAACAAAATACAAATAATGAAGAATAAGATAAACATAATCTAAAATATTCAGATCGTTTGTAAAAATAAATATTTTTTTTTAAGATTATTATTTTATGGTAATTCTGATAGAAATTTGTATAATTTTTTTGGGCATTCTTAGAAAGAGTACTTCAAAATTGGACTTTTTTTAAGTTCAAAGTTGGCAGTACTTTAAAAACCTGAAGAAAACATAAAGAATAATGTAATTTTTTGAAGTGTTTCAAATGTAACTTTTTGAGTTAGTTTTAAAATTGGCAAAATTTGTGTAAACCCAAAACTTGGTGATTTATCTACTTTAAATTAAGTAAAAAAATTAATTACTATTTAAAAACAAACTTAAAATAATAAATATTGTTTCGAAATGCCAAAATAGAGTCTGCAGAAAGCAAGTTATTCCAAATCAATCTAAATTTAACGTAGCTTTTAGAGAGCAAAATTAATAAAAAATGTTAAGATTGTACTGAACAATAAAAAACTAGCAGTTCAAAAAACCGTTTTCTAAAATGTTTTAAATTATTATTAATTAAATTAATTAAAAATTAGAAAATTAAAGAATAGAATTTCTAGAAAACCAAAAGTGTAACATTTGTTTACTTCTCTAGAAGTTTCTAAAACTTTAATACATAGAAAAATTGCTTATAAAGTTTTGAAAAGTACAACACTTTTAAAAAGTACTACAATTGTCAATTATTCCAATGTTGGCAGTACCTAGAAGACCAAAAAAGGGCAATTTTTGCGCTTCTTTCACAAACACACTTTAAAGATTTGGGAGAGCACTTTATACTTTCAGGACAAGTCACGTGTTATTTTTTTTTATTTTATTTTTGGTTCTAGTATAACGGCTTTGAGCAGCTTTGCATTAACTTTACTAACGAAAAGCTGCAGCAATTTTTTAACCATCACATGTTTGTACTGGAACAAGAGGAGTATGAGAGAGAGGGGATTCATTGGACGTTTATTGATTTCGGGATGGATTTGCTTGCGTGTATTGAGCTTATAGAAAAGGTTTGCTTAACGCTTTGCTTGGTTTTGGTTTGCTTGTTAGAATAGTGTGTGTTAATCGTGGTTTTTCCTGTCTAGTATAACGGTTTTGAGCAACTGTGTATTAACTTTACCAATGAGAAACTGCAACAGTTCTTTAACCATCACATGTTTGTACTTGAACAAGAAGAGTACAAAGCTGAGGGTATCCAATGGACGTTTATTGATTTTGGCATGGATTTGTTAGCCTGTATTGAGTTGATTGAGAAGGTAAATTCGGGTTTTGAGAAGTTGTTGTTGTTGTTGTTGTGCCGGTTGCTTATTGTAGTACCACAGTCGAAACATGTTCTTCGTAGGTTGTGTTTGTTGTTGCGATTCCACCCACGTAACTGGTGAATTGCTGTGTAGTTTGTTGTTGGCTAATTTTTGTCACACTGTGTAGTTCAACGGCTTCGAACAGCTGTGTATCAACTTCACTAATGAGAAGTTGCAACAGTTCTTTAACCACCACATGTTTGTTCTTGAACAAGAAGAGTACCAAAGAGAAGGTATTGAGTGGGCCTTCATTGATTTCGGCATGGATTTGTTAGCCTGTATTGAACTTATTGAAAAGGTAAAAGGGGCGCATCGACGACACCCGCTTCCTAAACACTACTAGTGCTATAACCCAAACCTTGACACAACAATCAAGGTTGTAGAGTAGTTTAACTTGCAGTATAACGGCTTCAATCAACTGTGCATAAACTACTCCAATGAGAAACTTCAACAATTCTACAACCATCACATGTTTATCCTTGAACAGGAAGAGTACGAAAGGGAGGGAATCACCTGGACTTTTATCGATTTTGGTCTCGACTTACAACCATGTATTGACCTTATCGAGAAGGTACTAACCTTTAACCCTTCCCAATCGAACCACAAATAGTCTATGCACAGTTTTTTAGCTTTTAGTACTAGCACCAGCACCAGAAGGTAAAGTACCATGAGATAGTTGTTAGTCCCTTTGTCTTAACCCAAATCTAATCAAAATTTCTCTCTAGCCCATGGGTATTTTATCCATCCTTGAAGAAGAGTCTATGTTCCCCAAAGCCACCGATAAGACATTTGAGGAGAAGTTGAACACCAATCATTTGGGCAAATCACCCAACTTCTTGAAACCTAAACCACCAAAGCCTGGACAACAAGCCGCCCACTTTGCGATTGGTCACTACGCGGGTAATGTACCCTACAACATCACCGGTTGGTTGGAGAAGAACAAGGATCCCTTGAACGACACTGTTGTCGATTTGTACAAAAAGGGAACCAACAAGCTTTTGGTTGAGATTTTCGCTGATCATCCTGGACAATCTGGAGGTCCTGATGCTGGTGGCGGCAAGGGTAATTCTCCTTCTTTTTTTCTGAATTTTTTTTGAGATAAAGAGTAATTCAAATTGCTGTCTGGTTTAGGTGGGAAGAGACCCAAAGGTTCAGCCTTCCAGACTGTTTCAAGTTTATATAGGGTAAATTTAGACTCTCTGATGATGATGATTTTGTCGCTATTTTTGCTTGATGTTCGCTTTTTTGTTAAATAGGTCGTGGTAAGAAGGGAGGTGGTTTTGCTACGGTATCGTCAGCCTACAAGGTAAATCAAAAGAAATTTTACAAAATTTTTCTCCAAAAACCAAAAACATTTTCCAATGATATGGAACCAATGTTTTAGTGCAACCATCAAATTCATGAATTGGTTTTAATACACCCTTGCACCGAAGACTGACACTTCATCCGAACCATTGAATACGTAATGGTGTTTCACTCCAATTTTAAATCACCTTCACTCAAGTTTTTCTCACTTTTAACTGTAGAAATAGAGCTAAAGCACAGCGCTTCCATTGCTCACCTAACACACTAACCAAAGAGGTTTCCAGACAAAGCGAAGCACTAGTGCTTCATTTTCACTGTTGGAAAAATTATTAAATAAAAGCACAGTCCCGAGGAAAATTTACTGAATTTTATTTTGTGCTTCAAAGTGCTTCTTATAACATTCATGTTTTTTAGTGAAACACTTGAAGCAGTAATCATGAAACTTAGATTTTGTAGGTGATTATCTTGTTAGTGCTTCAAAGTGCTTCTTGCAAAAGTCATAATTTTCTGCTAGGCAGAACCTTGAAGCACCAATCGTGGGATTTGGGTTTTGTATAGTGCCTTGACAGTGCTTTAAAGTGCTTCATGTTTCACTACTTTCAGTGTTGTCAAATTGTAAAAGAAAATTACAGTATCGAAGAAAATTTAGAGAATTTTATTTAAGAAAAAAAAGTGCTTCTTACAAAAGTCATGATTTTCAAAAAAACAGATAATTTGAAGCACTAATCGTGTGATTAATTTCTTGTTAGTGCTTTAAAGTGCTTCATGTTTCAGTTTTATAATTTTTTATCTAATATTGCATCTGTTGAAAAATTGTTAAATCTGGAGCTTTGATAAGAAAAAAACCCGTGTAAAAATGTTTTCCTAATGATTAGATTTTGAAGTTTTGAAAAAAAGTGTCGTAAGTGCTTACTTGTCTGGTGCCTTTTTGATTTTCACCCAAACCCAAACCTTGAATTTCCCTAACTTGGGTCTTGTATAGGAACAATTGAACAACCTCATGACCACCTTGCGTTCGACCCAACCCCACTTCGTCCGTTGCATCATCCCCAACGAGTTGAAACAACCTGGAGTGATCGATTCCCACTTGGTGATGCACCAGTTGACTTGCAACGGTGTACTTGAAGGTATCCGTATTTGCCGGAAAGGATTCCCCAATAGGATGGTTTACCCGGACTTTAAACTCCGGTGAGTTGGATTATTTAATCCCAGTTTAGGGAATTCCAGTCTTGATTCTTGACTAAACCCCTTGCATAGCTACATGATCCTAGCGCCTGCCATAATGGCAAAAGAAAAAGACCCCAAGGAAGCCGCCCGGAAATGTCTGGAAGATGTCGGTTTAGACCCGGATTCGTACCGGATCGGCCATACCAAGGCAAGGGTTGATTGTAACCCCTGTCACGTTTCACCACACACACACCACCACCTTTTGTTTCATGTAAATTAACCTTTGACCTTTAGTTACAAGATCTTGAATCCCGCCGCCGTCGATAAGGAATCCGATCCAAAGAAATGTGCTGGTCTTATCCTTGAAGCTACAAGTCTTGACCCTGACTTATACCGTTTAGGTCACACCAAGGCATGTTTTCTTCCTCTTGTTGTTTGTGTTTCTTTGACCGGAGTTGGCAGACTGAAGTCCGGATTTTCTTTTCCGGGTGTCAATTTTTAGGGACGAGATGATACCCAATTACTAACCCAAACACTTTTGCACCTTTTTTGTTTTCGTTATTCACTAGTGTAGTTCTTGCGTTAAACAGATACAAAATTCTGGCCGCAAGTTCTATTAGGGATGATATGACACCAGAAAAAGCATCGCAAGTTATTCTGGAAACGATCAACCTTGATGCTGAACAGTACCGACTTGGTAAAACTAAGGTACTAGCACCAGATGCAAGCAAAACTTGTAGAATTCTACAAACTTGTGATTAATCCTAAATTTGACAAATTACAAGACCAGTCGCTACCTCTTGGTATCAGTTTTAAAATCTGATGATTCTAATAAATTAGGAACGGTTTTTTTCTGAATTTTGACTTTGAAAAAAAAAAACAATAAGTATTTAACTTAAAATTTTTTTTTTACTTCTGGAACAATTTTTGATTAATTCAAACATTAATTTTTTATTGTGACAATTGTCAACTTTCTTAGTCTAATAATTTTTTTAGTAATTTAGTGATAAATTTGGTCACATAATTGATAAAAATATTTATTTTATCAAATGAAAAACGTTTTAAAACTTTCACAGGTTCGAAAAAAGTTCAATAGACTTGTAGACATAAAAATGTTATTTTTACTCAACAATGTTACTAATTGTAGTCATTTAAAAATCGGATTTTTAAAGAAATATAAATTATTTTCATTAAAAAAAAACTACCGACTGTAAATAAATTTGACAATTTTTTCATTATTTTATTCAAAAAACATTTTTTTCCTTAGTTTTATTTGAGTTTTTTCAGTTTGTGTAAATCAGTAATAATAATAATAATCAAAAACTGAAGGTTATCCATAAAAGTTTAATTGTGAACGAACCATCTTATTGAAAGTTATAATAATCTGACATTTGATACCTCACCGAGCGCATTAAAAATTGTGGTCCGTTCACAACACACTCATATCACCGCCAACTACGACGACAAACTAAAATAAACACCCGTTATTTTTTATAATATTTACGATATAAAAAAATTGGTTACTCAGTTGGTATCAAAGGTAGGAAAAAGCGGTTTCTTGACCAAAACTGCGGTTTTTTACTGTGAAATGTATGTTTTTTGTGGCACTTGTGTAAGTTTTTTTTCAGTTTTTATATAGTTTCTTATAAATTTCGGTTACAAAGTTGGCACAGAGAAAAGTGGTGCTAAATTATTTTAGGTTCTGTAGAAAATCATTTAACTTAATTTAATTTAATTTCATTTTAGAAAAACTGAACATTTTTAGACAACAGTTGTAAACATTTAATTATTCATATTTTCACATGCAAAAACGAAAAAAATAGGATTGTTTTTTTTAATCCTACTTTAAAAACTTATATTTTTGACATGGTCTTCGCTCTAAATTTGTACTTTCTCCTAAAGAAGTACCTTAGTACCTCAATTTTTTGGTGTTTTTAGCCAAAATTTAAGTAAATTAAGTTTGGGTAGCGACTTTTCTTGCCCATCAGGTAGTAAAAATGTGACTACTAGAAATTCGCTTCAGCTTCGCCTAAAAAAATAACAAATCGGCTTTCGTTGGAATTTTCGCTTCATTTGGTGTTTTTTCATCACTTTAGCGTCATGGTCTAACTTTGGTCATTTAGGTATTCTTCCGCGCCGGTGTGTTGGGTCAGATGGAGGAGTTGCGCGACGAGCGTCTTGGTAAAATCGTCACTTGGATGCAATCCTGGGTCCGCGGTTACCTCTCAAGGAAAGAGTTCAAGAAACTGCAAGAACAACGTTTGGCCCTCCAAGTGTGCCAGCGGAACCTCCGCAAATACCTCAAACTCCGCACTTGGCCTTGGTACAAACTATGGCAGAAAGTCAAGCCTCTCCTCAACGTCACTCGCATCGAGGATGAGATTGCGGTAAGCCAGCCAGCCATATTTAATCCCGTTTACATCATAAATATCCGATTTTATGACCACTTACCTGATGGCCTCAATATCGCGAGCTATTTATACGGGACTATCCCTCCTCGATCTGTCAACGTATGAAACATCGCGGATTTTTTTAATCTTTCATCGAATCATCTCATCCTACGCGTTCTATTTTGTCTCGAGGATGGGAAGAGGGCTCCAGTCTTAGTCGAGTCGTGGACCGGGTCAGAACCACCGGAAAAATGGTCGATATTGATCATACGTGTCCCACTAAACAGGAGATTTTGCAGAAATTGGAGGAGAAAGCCGCTAAAGCACAAGAAGCCTATGAGAGGGAAGCCAAAGCCAAGAAGGAATTGGAAGGACTCTACTCAAAACTCTTGGCCGAGAAGACGGAACTCTTGTCCAGTCTTGAGGGAGAAAAGGGGTCGCTTTCCGAAGTCCAAGAACGAGCCAACAAGCTTCAAGCCCAAAAGAGCGATCTTGAATCACAATTATCCGTAAGCAATTCTTGATTATTTTTCTCTCGGCTTGATTTATTTGTGCAAGACTTTGCATAAATATTATTAGAATATCGGTTTATCTTTGTACATCTGCCAGTACTTGAAAGGAGTTCTCCTCCTTATGGTAGCTTGGCTCGTGTTCAATAATTTCTTAATTTGAAAAAGTGTGAACGTTTTATTGGCCACTATCCAGGGGCTAATTTTCTTAATTAAAGGAAACTCAAGACCGTCTCAGCCAAGAGGAGGATGCTCGCAACCAATTAATGCAACAGAAGAAGAAACTCGAGCAAGAAATCTCCGGTTACAAGAAAGACATTGAAGATCTCGAACTCAATCTCCAGAAATCCGAGCAAGATAAAGCGACCAAAGACCACCAAATCCGCAATTTGAACGACGAAATCGCCCACCAAGACGAGCTCATCAACAAGCTCAACAAAGAGAAGAAACTCGGGGGTGAAAACACCCAAAGAATCGCCGAGGAGCTCCAAGCAGCCGAAGACAAAGTCAACCATTTGAACAAAGTCAAAGCCAAGCTCGAGCAAACTCTTGACGAACTCGAAGACTCCCTCGAACGCGAGAAGAAACTCCGCGGTGATGTTGAAAAGTCCAAACGCAAGGTTGAGGGCGACCTCAAATTGACACAAGAGGCCGTCGCTGACCTCGAACGCAATAAGAAGGAACTGGAACAGACCATCCAACGCAAAGACAAGGAAATCTCCTCGTTGACTGCCAAACTCGAAGATGAGCAATCCGTTGTTGGTAAACTCCAGAAACAAATCAAGGAACTCCAAGCCAGGATTGAGGAGTTGGAGGAAGAAGTCGAAGCTGAGCGTCAAGCTCGTGCCAAGGCTGAGAAACAAAGAGCCGACTTGGCCAGGGAATTGGAGGAGTTGGGCGAACGTTTGGAGGAGGCTGGAGGTGCCACTTCCGCTCAAATTGAACTCAATAAGAAACGCGAAGCTGAATTGGCGAAATTGAGGAGGGATTTGGAAGAAGCTAACATTCAACACGAATCGACTTTGGCCAACTTGAGGAAGAAACACAACGATGCCGTGTCGGAAATGGGTGAACAAATCGACCAATTGAACAAACTCAAAGCAAAGTAAGTATTGGGGGTTTGAGGAGGAGAGGGATTAATGTTTTGGTGTAGGGCTGAAAGGGATAGGGCTAGTATTTATACCGAGCTTCAACAAACGCGCAGTGCAGTGGAACAAGTCGGTCGGGAGAAGGTACAAAGTGCCCCCCTTTTGTCTTGACCCTCCCTGCACTCAACCTCTGTTTGTATCGTTGTTATATTGTTTTGTCTTTAGGGCTGAAAAAGAAAAGGCTGCATACTTTGGAGAACTGAACGACCTTCGGGCCTCAGTCGATCATTTGGCCAACGAAAAGGTACAAAAGGCTTCAATTGGGCTAATTGTTAATTATGCAGCTGCTTCTTTCTTTCTACTAACTCCTAGCCTTTTAACATGAAATTGTGTCTTGTTGTGCAATTTCTGAGTCAATTTTTTAGGCCGCTGTTGAGAAAGTCTCCAAACAACTCCAACAACAACTCAATGACGTCCAAGGCAAACTCGATGAGACCAATCGCACTCTTAACGACTTCGACGCCGCCAAGAAGAAGCTCTCCATTGAAAACTCCGATTTGTTGCGCCAATTGGAAGAAGCCGAGAGTCAAGTGTCCCAATTGAGCAAAATCAAAGTCTCACTCACCACCCAATTGGAGGATACTAAGAGACTCGCTGATGAAGAAGGTCGCGAAAGAGCCACTCTTTTGGGTAAATTCCGCAACTTGGAACACGATTTGGACAACATCCGCGAACAAGTTGAAGAAGAAGCTGAAGCTAAAGCCGATATTCAACGCCAATTGAGCAAAGCTAACGCCGAAGCCCAATTGTGGAGACAGAAATACGAATCTGAAGGAGTTGCCAAATCTGAGGAGCTTGAAGAAGCCAAGAGGAAACTCCAAGCTAGACTTGCCGAAGCTGAAGAAACCATCGAGTCACTCAACCAGAAGGTTGTAGCTTTGGAAAAGACCAAACAAAGACTCTCCACCGAAGTCGAAGACTTGCAAATTGAAGTCGACCGTGCTAATGCCATCGCCAACGCTGCTGAGAAGAAACAGAAAGCTTTTGATAAGATTATCGGTGAATGGAAACTCAAAGTCGATGATTTGGCTGCAGAACTCGACGCCAGTCAGAAGGAATGTCGCAACTACTCCACCGAACTCTTCCGTCTCAAAGGTGCCTACGAGGAAGGCCAAGAACAACTCGAAGCCGTCCGTCGCGAAAACAAGAACTTGGCCGATGAAGTTAAAGATCTCCTTGACCAAATTGGTGAAGGTGGTCGCAATATTCACGAAATTGAAAAAGCCCGTAAACGTCTCGAGGCCGAGAAAGACGAACTCCAAGCCGCTTTGGAGGAAGCTGAAGCTGCTTTGGAACAAGAAGAAAACAAAGTCTTGCGTTCACAACTCGAATTGTCTCAAGTACGTCAAGAAATCGACCGTAGAATCCAAGAGAAGGAGGAAGAGTTTGAAAACACCCGTAAGAACCACCAACGCGCCCTTGACTCAATGCAAGCCTCACTTGAAGCTGAAGCTAAAGGTAAAGCTGAGGCGCTTCGCATGAAGAAGAAGCTTGAAGCTGATATCAATGAACTTGAAATTGCTCTTGACCATGCTAATAAGGCTAATGCTGAAGCTCAGAAGACTATTAAACGTTACCAACAACAACTCAAGGACACTCAAACCGCTCTTGAGGAGGAGCAACGTGCTCGTGATGAAGCCCGCGAGCAACTTGGAATCTCCGAACGCCGAGCCAATGCTCTCCAGAATGAACTCGAAGAGAGTAGGACTCTTCTCGAGCAAGCTGACCGTGCTCGTCGTCAAGCCGAACAAGAATTGGGTGATGCTCATGAGCAACTCAACGATTTATCTGCTCAAAACTCTTCACTTTCTGCCGCCAAGAGGAAACTCGAAACTGAGCTCCAAACTCTTCATTCTGATCTTGATGAGCTTTTGAACGAAGCTAAGAACTCAGAAGAGAAGGCTAAAAAGGCCATGGTCGACGCTGCTCGTCTTGCTGATGAGCTCCGCGCTGAGCAAGACCATGCTCAGACTCAGGAGAAGCTCCGCAAAGCTCTTGAGACCCAAATCAAGGACTTGCAAGTGCGTTTGGACGAAGCTGAAGCTAATGCGCTCAAAGGTGGGAAGAAACTCATCCAGAAGTTGGAACAACGTGTCCGCGAATTGGAGAATGAGCTTGATGGTGAGCAACGAAGACACGCCGATGCTCAGAAGAACTTGAGGAAATCCGAACGTCGTATCAAAGAGTTGAGCTTCCAAGCGGAAGAAGACCGCAAGAACCACGAACGTATGCAAGATTTGGTTGATAAACTCCAACAGAAGATCAAGACCTACAAGAGGCAGATTGAAGAAGCTGAAGAAATTGCTGCTTTGAATTTGGCCAAGTTCAGGAAGGCTCAACAGGAGTTGGAAGAAGCTGAAGAACGTGCCGATCTTGCCGAACAAGCCATTGCTAAATTCCGCGCGAAGGGACGTGGGGGATCTGTCGCCAGAGGAGGCAGCCCAGCGGTAAGTTAATTTGATTCAAAATGCGGAAATTTGGCGACGGTTTCTTCAAACATTTCATTTCTTATAGCCGAACAAGCCGCGCTTACCGATTGCGTTGGAGTAAATTACGAGTAAGTGAGAGTTCCCCGTTAGAACTCCTCGTGTTGCCAACACACTTCAAACGTGTCTTTTTTTGTCCCCAAAAACTCTAATTTGGGGGAAGCTGGGCTATATTGGGCAGATTTTTGATCACTGTATTAAAATTGGTCATTTTTACACTTTTTATTAATTAACAGAACATAAAAAGAAACTCAAAATTACTAAAATGAAACAGCAAGTGATGCCAATTGAAATGACGACAATAAAAATCAGTCATTTACAGTTACCCGGTATAAGTACTTTTTCGATGTTTTTGAGATTTGTAGACGATTTTTATTTAAAATTACAAATATTAATATATATATTTTTTGAGATTTTTTGATATTTAATTAACAAGTTCTAAAAATAGACCAGACTACAACATATTTCTTGACTCTAATATTTTGATTAATCTGCATATTTTGACTTCACAATTACTGATTTTTACAAGCGCAAAATTTTTGTTCAATGTGTAAGATTTTACATACCAGGTGAAAAAAGAAGATAAAAAAAACAAAACAACAGATTAACGAAAATAATGAATATAAAAAATATTAAAGTAAAAAAATAGATTGGTTAAATTTTTACTAATTTTTGAAATATTATTAATAAAATAAATACTGAAAAATACTGTTTTGATTATACCATGTGAATCCAAAGTATAAAACCAAACGTTTTTTGCTTAATTATTATTTTTTTCTACGTACTATAAAAATGTGACATGTCTCAAGAATAAAAATTTGTCATGGTTTTTGTTTTTGAGTTCTGCAAAATTCTATTTTTTTTTTAAATGGTAACCCACTATAAATTTTTTATTTTTACAAAGGCCCTAAACTAAGGATTATAACAATCTAGTTTTACTCAATTTTTATGTTATCATAAAAAAATGCATAACTCAAAAACAAACTTTGTTCTTAAAACACGATCACATTTTTTATGACACTTTGATTTTTATTAATTATGATTTTAAAAACGCTTGGTTTTATACTTTTTGTTTATACAGGATTTGACATTTTTTGACAAAAAGATTGTAAAATATTTGAGGAGGTTGTAGTATGGACCAAAACAAACAAAAAAATCTTAATAAACATGGGTCCGCAAAGTAACGGTTTCAGAGATATCGAATGTGAAAATTTTTAGATTTTTTACTAGAAGCTTCTCTTTTTTGTTTGAACGGATTTCAAATAAATGTTTCAAAAAACAAATAATCTTCGATATCTCCGAAACCGTTACTTTGTTTATTAAAACTTTTTTATTTTAAATATTTTACAATCGTTTTTTAACACCCTGTAGACAAAAAAATCTCACAAGTAAGCAGTCTATAAATGTCACAAAATGTTCTTTTTTTTTGTTAAAATTTCTTATGAATTTTTCAACAATTTTGTTTTAATCAGAAAGAAGTGTTTTAGGTGTGAATAAAATTTGACACACCTTGTAAATATTTTTTTGAAATTTTCGCTCTTGTTAATTTTTTACAAATCGGAAACTAAAACAGGGCGCTTTAGACTAAAATAATTTTCTCAAAAAATGAGCTGTTTAGACCAAAACTCGTTGTATTTCAAGTGATTTTTTTGAGGTTTATAGGCAATTTAAAAAAAATGATACTTTTTTATTTACTGACTACTAAAAAAACTGTTTGTTTTTCCACTTAAGTCCGATATAGGCAGCCCTCCCCTATCCGCGTCTGTCCACCTAATAGTCGTGTTGTCCCCGTTTGATTTTTTTTTTGATTTTTTCTCAGTCTAATGGTGATTTTTTTGCAGCCCCCGAGACAGCGCCCCCAGATGGACGGTCTCACCTTCCCCCCAAGGTTCGACCTGGCCCCTGATGACCTCTAAGCGCTGTGTAACGAACTTTTCGGCGGATAAACCACCACATCCGTCTTAACCACACATTCATTTTTTTTCTTTTATTTTTTATTTTTTGTTTAGGGTTGTATTTTGAATGATTCCGTTGCCCATTATGCATACGAACTAGGGGAAATAAGGGTAAAAAGAGACACGTACTTCCATCCAAACAGCCCTTACAGTCTCCGAGTTCTCATTGCCATCATATATTTTATATTAGGTTCTAAAATTGTATTGTATGTGTGACATGTATGGCTTAAGGCACCAATAAACAAGTTATATCTCGTTACCAAATCTTTTTTTTCCATACAAAACACTCTGTAATTATTTCACTGTCATTGTTATTAATTTATTGTAAAATAAACTCTATTGAAAGAAAAAAACTCGTTTGAATTTCACCCAATTTACAAAAATTTGATCGGTTTGAGGGCCCTTGGGGGCTCCCCATTGGGCTTAGTCTTCACGAGTTGTCTCATCTGTCCCTTGACCAACTCAATCTGGGACGAAAGCTTCCATTCAAGGCCAAAATCAGCACAAGTTTTCAAAAAAGTCGGATATAAATAATCCAACAGACCATGGTCGATGGTTGGGAACAAATGGTGTAAAGCATGGTCCCCAAAATTGGTCAAAACTAAAAAATGGGACCCTGTTATATCCTTGCGGTCCATCACTGCGTCCATTTGGTATATCCCCCAATCTTTTTCTGGTCTAGAATTCCATTTTTTAGGGTTTTTTTTGGGTTAATTTGATTTACCTTGGGATGTCCCCATCGTGGAAAATGTCTGGGTGATGGTGGGCCGCATTCACTCCCACGGCCCCAAAATGGAGACTCCCGGTGATTTGAATCCACCAAAACATCAGAAAAGGGGAAATTAACTCTCCCGAAAACACCACCATTGCGACCATGACACTAAATGGGAGGAAAATGATGGGCTCGTAGGGTTTTTCCCCCAGTACCATTGCAATTAAACTAGGGAAAAATAATATTTTTTTTTTTTTCGTAAATTAATCTAAACTACCTTCGAATGAAGGATCCCACGAAAATAAAACACCAAATAATTGGTGAAATAAAAATTTGAGCGATTTGGACCAGGATGTGTTTTTTTCCGGGAAGATACTGAAGAAATGGTTCCAGGGATGATATTTCTAGATCGTTGATGGTGTTGGTGTGCAAATGATGGCTTAATGCATGACTTATGCGCCACTCTCTGTAACAGGTGTGTCGAGTCAGATAATTTTAAACGTGAACTAATTTTATATTTTTGGTCTGTTTGCTATTCCAGTTGGAATATCTGGAGTTCGCGGAATAATATTTGGTTGAGAAATTTGGAAGAAAAAGGTTTTGTTTTCAATGAAACTAAAATAAAACTGCGTAAAATTAAAATAGAAAACAAGTTTAAATTAAGAACAAAAGTTGGAGATTTATGATGCAGTTAAACACGAGATTTATACTTGTCTCAGGGGATTAGTGTTTGCATTGGTCATAAATTTGTGCTGACTCACGAGAGAAGTCATTACCTAAGAAAAATCACTCAAAATTGTACAATTTGTTTTTTCTCTCAAAACCAAACCAAAAAAGAAAATCTTTGATTTTTTCAAGAGTTTTGTGTTTATTTTACCTAAAATTTTAATTACAAAGTTTATAAAACACATAAAATAATTGAAAAAGTCTCAAAACTGTCAATGTTTCGAGTTTTGGAAAATAAATAAAATCACATTTTCAATTTTCAATTAATAAATTTGAAGAGACTTTAAAATACAAGAAAACTTTATTAGTTTTTTACCAGTTTTGTGTTTATTTTACCAAATATTTTGAATCACATAGTTTATAAAAATACAAATTAGTTGAAAAAAAAAATTCAAAACAGTCAATTTTATGAAAAATCAATAAACCGCATTTTGAATTTATAGATTTAAAATGTATTTTAAAAAAGAGACACTATTTGGTTTTCGACGAGTCTTGTGTTTATTTTGCCCAAAATCTTGATTATAGAGTTTATAAGAAATACAAAAAAAGTCTGAAAACAGTCATTATTATGTTTCAAGTTTTGAAAAATCAGTAAAACCACATTTTCAATTTTCAGTTAACAAATTTAAAGAGAATAGATTTTTTTTACTTTTTGTTGGTTTTACTGAAAATTTTAAATTACAAAGTTTATAAAAGTACGAAATAATTGAAAAAAAGTCTCAAAATACTCAATGATGCGAGTTTTGGAAAATCAGTAAGACTACATTTTCAGTTTTCCGTTAACAGATTTAAAGACAATTAAAAAAATAGTTTTCTAAGTCGTGTGTTTATTTTACCTAATTTTTTATTACAGATTACAGATTATGAAATTTACAAAATGATTGAAAAACAGTCAATGTTGCGAGTTTTCAGTTAAAAGAGAAATTTTTACTCGAAATTATGAATTACAAAGTTTAGAAAAAATACAATTGTTTTGTAAACATGTAATAAAACTTCAATAACAGGAAATGTGATTTTTTTGAACAATGCTTGAAAATTCACCTTTGCCATAAAAAGAATAAATAAATAAGTACTTAATAAAAACACTGAAATTTAATTTTTTTTGTATTAAAAATCACAATTGCACTAAAAACAAAAATATACTTACGAGTATTCCAAGAGAGTGAAATTAAAATAATACATCCTTAAATTATCCTTTTGATGAAAAAAATTATGAGCTGCGATTGCAGTCAGGCTTAAAAAAATCCCAGAAAACATCCCAAAAGTAAAACTCCTGAAAATAGCCGCCAAAAGAGCCAAACTCACATAGGCAAAAAGCAAAAAATCTGTGATTCTCTTCGACCTTTCAGCCGGTTCATTCGGAACCTCTTTTAATTTTTCAACAATATTTTTTTTCAGTGTTTTGTAAAAATCACCCTCTTTAAACGTAAACGGCGAATTTCGCCGAGTCTTAGCCTTGCGAATGAAATATTTCTCGATGAGTTTTTCAGCAGTTGAGGTCAAATGATGCGTTTCAAAAGCTTCAGTAACGTCAGTTCCCTGAAATTTTATTTTTTCTTTCACAAAAAACCTGAAAATTTTAATACTTGAGTCAATTGGAGCCATTCTGCGCCCCCTGGATGTTGGCGAACAAAATCGCTCAAATCGTAGAGATTGTCGTGGACTCGCCACAGGCCCTCGGCCCCATCATCGGCCCTTTTGCCCTTCAGCCACCGCGGGCCGATTTTCAGGAGGTTGTCCCGCAATGTGGGATACTTGATCCCGAGACTTGAGCTAAATCTGGTGGCTTTCACCGTCATTTCGCCCCTGAAAATTATTATTAAATGAAAATTTCATAAGTTTCAGATGTGGGTTGGAGAAATTCTACATGAGACGAGAATAAAAATAAGTCGGGAATGTTTGTGTCAATTAATCATCGATTTATTTCGGACTTGTCCACGCAGATATTCGTTGCAAAATCGACGAGGGAATTACGAGCTTATTTTTGGGCAAAATTTTCAATCACATTTAAGTTGGGATTTAAGGTTTTAATTAAAAAATTCTTATAAATTAAATAAAAAAATAATAAATAATAAAATAAAATTAAACCAAGAATTTCTACTTATAAACTTGAATCCTGCTTTTGTTTCTAATGTTCAAATTTCTAACTTTCCGATTAAAAATTCTCTTTCTTAAACTGAGAATTTTGACTTAAAAACTCGAAATTTTAATTTTGCAAATTTTGGCATTCGAACTATAGAACATGTTAAATTAAAATTATTTTTATTTTAGTTTTAAACTTTTTGATCATAAGTATTGTAACTTTAAATTCTGGTATAAAATATTACGCTTTTAATGTTTATGGCATTGGTACAATAATATTTTTTTGTAAAATTATCAAATATTTGCGTCAAAAAACTAATTTTTGAATGTGAGAGTTTAAACTAAAATTTTGCCAAATTCCTAGTTTAAAAAAAACACGATATTAAAATTTAAACAGAAACTTCGGAATTTTCATCAGTTTAAAGTAAAGCTAAAATTTTAAAACAGAAAATTCTAAATTTGCAAGTTCAATTCTTAATTATTTTAAAATGTAGCAAATCTAATTTACGATTTTTACAAATTTTTTTGGGGAAAATTTAAGTTTTAAAATTGTCACTGACATTCACTTTGAAGGTTTTTCACTCACAGACCCTGATATACTTACAAAATTTGGGTTAAAAAACAATATTTGAGCTGCTCCAACTACATAATCACAACAAAATTTTTAAATCTATTTTTCGAAGAACAAAATAACGAGAATGAAACGTAAATGTAAACATTATTGTTGACAACAAATTACTGTTTAATAGCTGCAATTAAACTATCTGAAGTCATATGAAAACACGATATTATGTAAAATAGTAAATAAAAATAAAACGCATTATCATTGTGCACTTTACACCTCGTTTATAGATTTTATTAATAATAAAAATATCTTACTTAAATGAAGAATTTGATTTAAACTCACTTCAAAGTTGTTTGACTAGATTACTCGTAAATTGGCACAAACTATCACTTTCATAGCTTCAAGAAAATGAAAAAAATTTAATTAAAAATCATGGAATAAATCATTGACCTGCCACATATCAAATTAAGTAAAAGTGTGAGAGAAAACCACGGAAATTAAACTAAGATTAGAATTAATTCTGTTTACATTTTATTTCATTGTTATTTATTAGATGTTACAAGGTCCCCTACCAAGGTAATTTAAAGTTCAATTATCATTGGAAAATCCCATTCATCTCGCGAAAAATTATTTTTGAGCCATCATTTTCTCTCAACCCACACTTTTCTTTTAATACCTGAACTACAACAAGTCGCTCAGATATGATCATTTAATTCCGTAATATTTATTGGATGCGCTCCAAGAATGCATGTATCAAAGAAATTTTTATTTTCGGTGACAGATGTAGCAACTGCTTTGAATTTATAACACACTAATAAACACTCAACAAATGCTCACTCATTACTGATCGAATTTCATTTAGAATGTGGAGGGAATAGCCTTCCAAAAAGATAACAACATTGATATCAAGGAGTTTTATTTTGATTCGATTTAAGAAAATTCACGGAAAAAAAACAAACTAAAATTTTGATTTTAGTAACGCGTTTTTAGTTTAATTAAATTACAGTTTACCCAAAATGGGCATTAAGTAGCATTCCTAGAGCTCACACTTCGTATAAATAATTAAGTTAGATATTACTTTCACAATTTTTGTAATTAAGCCAGGCAACCAGCAATACACGCGTCTTATGTTTTTTCAATTTTTCCAGTTAAGTTTCATATCTCTAACGTACATAAATTTTTTAAAATGAATTTCAAATAAAAAAATTAAACATTAACCTCAGACCATTTTAATTAAATTCGTTATTGTTCAAACTTTCCAAACAAAAATT